AGGGAGTGTCATCCTCAACATGGTGCCGTCGGCAGGAGCAAGACCCGTTTCTCTAATAAAACGTCACAAAATGAGCCCCGAAAATGTCAGAACCAACTTTGTCGGAAAAAAAGAGTCAAAGGTTTAGAACACAGATTCCTGAACTTATTTGGCCTACTGCCCCCTGTGCAGAAGAAATATTACTCAGCACCCCCCAGGCAACAAAACACTTTTGTGCTCTAGCCCACCATCCAGGATAAAGCGTAGGTATCTGCTTTTACAGCCCCTCCCCCTACCGCCTGGGGATCGCTCCATACACCAAGGGGGGAAGTGTTGTCCATTTTAGAAAGCACCAGTTTAGAGCCACCGAGTGTGAATGAAGGAAAAGACAGCCTCGCAATGGCAGGAAGGCTTGGCGGAAGGTTTGCCTTCTCCGACCCCACCCCATTCTCAGCTCAGTAGTCGTGACAATGGCAGCTTGTGTTTCTAATCTAAGATTGATCCCCTAAATCTGGAGGAAACAAGGTTGATCATCACATACCACATTAATAGAATGAACCAAGATATCCGCGCGATCACCTCAAACAATGTAGAAGAGTTATCCAATACCCTTTCATGATTAAAAACATCCAGAAAACTAGGGGTAGAAGAAAATTTCCGCAACGTGATCAAGAACTAGTGGAAAACCCACAGCTAGCATCGTCATGGATGATGAAAGACTGAAAAGTCTCCACCTCGGATCAGAAATAAGACAAGGGGTCTGTGTTCACCCCCAGTATTCAACATTATAGTGAGAGTTCTCGCCAGAGTGACGCGGTAAAAATAAATGCAAGACGTCCCAATCAGAAAGAAATCAACCCATCTCATGCAGGCAGTACAGACAAAGTGTTCCTTAGAAGCAAGGATGGGAGACTCTGCCTCACGTACTTCGGACACGTTATCAGGAGAGCCCAGTCCCATCATGAGCAGCAAACAGAGAGTAAGGGGAGAAGAAGAAGACCCTTGGTGGGATTCATTGGCGCAAGTACAACACTGGGCCCAACAACAACGGGGACAGTGGACCAAGACCCGCGGTGTTTCATGCTCTTGTGCAGAGATTGCAGTGAGTCAGCACTACCGACATTAGTAACTCCACAGCAAAAAGATACCCCAAGTTGAGTTGAGTTTAAATCATTTTATAGGGGGCTTTTACAGGCTCACAACCCTTCCATCCATCCATCGTGTCAAGCACATTTGTGCATGTGCTGCCATCATCCTTTTCAAAACATGTGCTCTCTACTTGAGCCCTTGGTATTAGCTCCTCTTTTTCTCCTCCTCCCTCCCCCACCCTAATGGACCCTTGATCATTTGTAAATTATTATGTTTTTCATGTCATACACTGACCGCTGTCTCCCTTCACTCACTTTTCTGTTGTCTGTCCCCTGGGAGGGGGTTATATATAGATCATTGTGATCGGTTCCGCCTTTCTTTCCCCATCTTTCCCTCCCCCTCCTGCTATCGCTACTCTCATTATTGGTCCTGAGGGGGTTATCTGTCCTGGATTCCCTGTGTTTCCAGCGCTTATCCGTACCTGTGTACATGCTCTGGTCTAGCTAGATTTGTATGGTAAAATTGGGATCATGATAGTGGGGGGGGAGCATTAAAGAACTAGAGGAAAGTTGTTTGTGTCATTGGTGCTATACTACACCATGACTGGCTCATCTCCTCCCCAGGATCCTTCTGTAAGGGGTGTCCAGTTACCTACAGATGGGCTTTGGGTCTCCCACTCACTCACAACGACATGATCTTTTGTTCTCTGATGCCTGATACCTGATCCTCAAGAGCAAGTTTTAGAGTCTCTTCTGACTTCCACTTGGGTTTTTCTCGCCTTTTGAATGGCCGTGTGCTTCCGTCATGTGTCACAGTCTCGATGCTATCCCGCAGCTCCTCAGGTCTCCGTCACTAGTGTTCCATGCGTCAGACCTGTTCTTGGTTGTTCTGGTGGATTAGTCTCAAGCTTTTATGTTCATTCTTGTGAAATTCCTTTATAGTTTTCTTCAGTTTCAACTTGAACTTGCATATGGAAAACTAATGGTTTTTCCGCAGTCTGTTCCTGACTTCATTTTGGCTGCTGATATCGACCTCCTCGATGATCTCTTCCCACAGATGTAGCCAAGTTGATTCGTCCGTGTTCCATCTGGCAAGGTGCACCTGCATTACTGCTGCAGTTGCTGTTGAAAAGGGGTGTTTGCAAAGGCCCCTTGTCAATCTTCTGGCCCACAGAAGTTTAAGGCACTAAATGTGTGACAGTAGAAATTAGAAACCAATAAAACTCACCATGCCGAGACTTTGTGGATGGTTTCCATCCTTCTGTTCTCTCGAGGAGGTAACGGAATCAGAGAACACAATTCAGTTTCCCTCGGACACACAGCATTCATGCCTTTCTTCTCTACCCTGAGTGGTCAAGATTATGAATGATTTCTGACAGTATCACTCGTGCCAATTTCTAGCAGAACAGTCTAAGGCTTGTATTCAAGTTCTAACGGCCTCTTCTCTAGTTGATGTATCTTGGGTGACACGTTAATCCCCAAAGCTCCGAATACTTTTGTCTAAAACAAGTTTTCCTTTTATTGCCTTAGGGATTGAAATATTTCCAAAATTGCCTTGGGGATTAAAATGGGTAATAACTAGAAAAAATTGTCATATGCAGGCCACTGTGTAAGATGAGGTGGTATTATAAAAACGCTACTACCTCTGGAGAAAAAGGAATGAATGTGGTTTTGACAGTACC